GCGGCGCCTGCACCGCCTCGGAGCCGGCCTCGGGCCGGGCGTCCCCGCCGCGCGACGTTCGTGGCGGCGTTCGCGGCGGCCAGCCGCGGCTCGATCGATCGGTCGGGCGAGCGGCAGAGCGATCTGCCGACGACGGCGACGGCGAGCGGATCAGTCGGCGACCACGACGACGAACGTTGACGGCGACGAGCGACCAGGACGTCGAGGAGCGACGGATCGGCGACCGCGACGACGGCGGCGGCGAAGGACGACGGCGAAGATTGGAGCCCCGACGCCGGATGGGCTCGAGACCAATCAGCAATGACAGAATCGATCGAGCGGTCGAGCGGCCGAGCGACCAGGGATCCGGGCTCGAGAGCACGGAGGATCGAGGGGATCGGGGACTCAGGGGACCGAGGATCGAGAGGACAGAGGATCGATGGCCGAGTTTTGAGGATCGAGGGCGGAGAATCGCCGTTGCCACCTTCGGCGTCGTCGTCCATCGAAGAGGACTCAAACGATCGAGTATCGAACGATCGATGAAGGGCACCCGGGCACCTCGAAGAGATCGAGGCAACCGGTGTGTCCCGATTCCCAGCCTCCGGAGGGGGGCTTCGGGCCTACGGGATAGAAAACCAGCCCTGCAAAAAGGGGTCGAGAGAGGCTGTGGGCCATGAGCGCATCGAGAACATCAAAACACCGGATGTCTGGGAAGGCGCTTCTGGCCCCACAGGGCCACAGGGCCTCCGAAGAACCCCTCACGAGGCCCAACGGGCTCCAGGGAGCGCCCTAAATCGGCAGGGAAAGCTGTGAGCACCTTGGGCCGAGGGCACCGATGGCAACACTCGGCCGACGAGAGTCGAGGACCAAGGATCGAGGTTCGAAGATCGAGAGAATCGAGGATCGAATCGTCGCCGTCTCCGTCGCCGTAGTCATCGCCGATAAATCGGGGATCAATCGAGCGATCGGGGTTCGAGGCTGAAGCCTCTTTCTTGGCCTCGGGGGGCGCCAGGTGCCCTCGCGGGCGGAGAGGCGCTCTCTCGCGCTGCCGCCTCCGAATTCTGGCCAGCGCGCACGCCAAGGCCAGGGGGTCGCCGTGGTCGTCGCTGTCGACGGCGTCGTCTGTGCGGTCGTCCTGGTCGTCGCCGTGGCAGGCGGTCGCGGTCGTGGTCGTCGTGAGCGTGGTGTCCGCGGTCGCGGTCGTCGCTGTCGCCGCCGCCATCGTCGTCGTCGCTCCGTGAGCCTCAGGCGCGGCGGAAAAACTACTGGGAGGCGGCTGAAGCGGGTCAACGCCAGCCTGGGACGACGCCGTTCACCCTACAGTGGAGGCCAGTCCACAAGAAACCTTCCACAAGAGACCCAACCCTGAGACCCCAGGACGTCCATTGATTTTTGGTGTGGGAACGAAGCCCAAGAAACCCGGGGCACCCTGGAGGCAACCAGGGCGTTTATTGGCATGGGCCTCCACTGTACTCCCAGCCAGCAGAATACCCACCTGCCCTCTGGGAGTAGATGGTTTGGACAGTGTCCGTTTCCAACCCCGCTCTGTCCCCTCGGGGAGGGGCGTACCACTGCTTAGCATCAGGTCGGACATGTCCCCCTGCATGCGGATGATGGGCGAAAAATTCAACATAGAAACAAATACGCCGAAGTGGTCAAACAAAAAAACAAGAAACATCGTCCCCAGACTATTTTTACACTATTTTTGAAAATTCCCAATGCAGAGGGACAGGCACGACTCAAGCTTAGTATTACTGATACACACCCTCCTGATTTGAATCGGCCATCAACCAGGAACAAGGACCCCATCCCCTACCACCGCTGTCAAGACAACAATACTGAGTGCACAGGGACGAGGACCAGAAGCGGGGCTTCTGCGCGAGAGGACATAGCGACCTCACGCCGCGGCATGCGCGGGCTGCAGACGGCGCGCGTCCGCACAGCACCTTGTGTCGTGACAACCCCGGCAGTGGACTCTGACACCGCGGAGATCGTTAAACCTGGAACGATCGGCCGTTTCGTTCAACCTCGATCGGGGGCGACGATCGGGGCGAATGGCCGAGAGGCGGGCATTACACGTATTCGCCCGGGGGCCTTGTCGACGACATAGATCATCGGCGCACCTGAATACGTGTATTGCTCTCCCCCGGGCTATTCGCGCGTGTCGTCGCTTCTGAATCGACCTATCCTAAGAGCTCCCAACTTCGCGCTTCGCGCTGCGCGAAGCGCGGATAACTTCGCGCTCTCGCGCCGAGACTCTCAAGGGAGGAGAGGAGGATGAGGAGGAACCGGAGCCGAACCGCGAAGCGCGAATAACTTCGCGCCCTCGAGGGCGCACTGGTCTTCTGGGTCGCCGGCGGCGGGAACGCCGGCGGCGGGACCGCCGCCGGCCGGCACGGCGCAGGCCTGCCCTGCGCGGGGAGCTCGAGCGCGGGGGTCCGCGCAGTCGACCCGCCCCGTGCTCTCCCGGCGCTCACAGGCAGGGCCTGGAGGAGGAGGAGGAGGAGGAGGAGGAGGAGGAGGAGGAGGAGGAGGAGGAGGAGGAGGAGGAGGAGGAGAAGGGGCTCGCGGGGACAAAGGACCCTGGGGCGGCCTGGTGGGAGGACTCCCGTGCCAGAGCCATTCTGGACTCCAGGTGCTTTGAAATGTTTTCGGCCCGTCGTGGGTCAGGGGGCTGGTTTTCAGAATCCCAGGGAATAGTCAAAACTACCAGTGGAAGCCCATCAGCAACTTTTGGACCTGTTACGGGAGGTGGAGCGCACGCTGACCTGTCCGCCGCAAGCTCGCATGATCATAATCCAACTGATTTTAAGAGCGCCGAGGCTGACAGACCGATTGCCCTCACGCAGGGTCGCTACCGCATCTGGGGCCGAGCCCGACGTTGCGATCTAGCGAGGTGGACGTCGGAGCGGGCTCAGTTTTGGGATCGGGCTGCGAGGGACTTGTCTGCTTCAAGGGTGGCCCCTCTGCGCCAGACCAACTGCGAGGTGGCTTCCGCCATAGGCTTTAACTGGATCCAGGTCCTCTTGGGTTTAGAAAAGCTGTATGATCATGTTCGGCTCGACACAAAGGTGGACATAGTCAGTCGAGTTGACCACCCGCTCATGCCACGTTTCCTTGCCCTGGACATGCACCGGGCCCCTCGGCGCCTCCGAGCCTCGGGAGCGGTTTGAGACACCATCGTTCCGGGCAGGAGCTTGCTCGCAGGGTGCTCGCAGAGCGTTGACATTGCCGAGGTGGCCCTGTGGGATATCCTGGAGACGGCTCGCGCCAATCTCCGCCCCCTGGTCTTGGAGTCCTGGGTGGATGACCTGAGCCAGCGGCATGTCGGGAAAGCTGAGGTCATCTCCCCACAGGCTGCCCGGCCCAGCGAGGGCCTAGGCAGGCTTCTGAAGGGGCCCTGGGACACACAAATAAATGCACACAAATAACAGGATTCCCAATATGTTCGCATATTTTCTGGGTTTTTGTCTTCCCCCCCACTTCCCATATTTTCCCATATTCTCGGGGGAATCGACGATTAATTGTAACTGTGTGTTTCGTATCCTCCTGAGCTTCGTCGGGATAGTGGGTTTGTTATTTCATGCAAGAGTCAGGTCCTTGCCAACCCTCCCCATCTTGCCCCTGGGATCCTTGCGGACTTGGCCCCGGAAAGGGTTCCGCCTCTGGGGGGGCACAGGCGGAAGGACCTGGGCATAGGCACTGTGGGTTCACGGCGCTCGGCTGCGATCCTCAGGCAACGCTTCGCTGCAGCTGGCCAGAGGTCCAGCCCAATTAAGCGCGTAGTCAAGACGGACCGCAGGGCGAAAGGCCTTGTCCGCATGAGCTGGCTCCCACAGGCTCTCTCTGGGGCTGCGAGTCTCAAGGCGTGAGCCCGACGATGGCCCACAGGGCCATGGCAGGCATGGTGGGGCGGCAGGAAGGTGGTTGTGCGACCACGGTACTGCGGTGCGCTTTCCAGGACCCCCACTTTGAACCAATAGTTTCCACTAGGATCAGGGTTTTGCGTGAATGGACCTGTCTTCTTCTCTCCCTCATGCGGGCGAACGAGCATGGGCTCCGCATTGCATGGGGCCAGGCGCTCGGTCGCCTGCGGTGCGTGGAGACCCTGTGGAAGCGAGTAAATGGTTTCGGTGCTGCCGCTGTTGCATGTCTCCTGGAGGCGGGCGGAACCCTGAGGAGCACGACCATTGGGTAGATCTCGACGGCGAGGCTTTCCAACACCACGGACCAACCTGACTGTTTCGTCTTGACGATCCGGAATCGTACCGAAACGCCATTCCTGGGACTTCAACACCGCGAATTAATGGAACTGTTTGCGCTCTCACACTCCTGAGTCTTTCAAAAGAAAACATTTCTGGTACGCTGTCTTGCAAATTCTGAAACCGAGTGTGCGCGGCGCTACGGCGAGAACCGCATTTAAAAATGAATCGCCCTCAATATGTGAAACCGTTGCAAATGTTTAGAACTAGTATTCGCGGCGCTAAGGCGAGAGCCACATATTGAACACAACCCGCCCTCAATATGGAATCCCTTGCACATTACTAAAACGAATGTGTGTGGCGCTAAGGCGATAGACACATGTTGAAAACGACCCGCTCTCCATCTGTGAAACTCTTGCCATGTGCTAAGCTTCAGGGCCACACATGGTGAAGGAGCCTTAGGCGAAACGCTCGACCCGCTCTAAAAACTGGCCTCGGGGTGCGCCAGGGAGCAGTTATTCATAAAGAAAGGAATGGAGGAGGAGGAGGAGGAGGAGGAGGAGGAGGAGGAGGAGGAGGAGGAGATAGGAGGGAGGGAGGGAGGGCGGAGGAGGACAAGCCTCCTTCTCACGTCCCCTCGCCCTCGCTCCTCCCTCCCTTCCCCCCCCCTCCCCGCAGGAGGCGCGGGCGGCGGCGAAGAGGGCGAGGACCCCCCCCGCTCGCGGCTGGGCGGCTCGGCTCGGCGGGCACCCGGGGCCCGCGCCGGCCGCAGGAGGACGCCGCGCCCGAACTTGAGCATCTCCCTCGAGAGCTGCTGACCTCAGCGTGCAGTCGGCCCCCAGGACAGAAGAGCGCTCTTCAAGAGCACGCGACCCTCCGTCGGCCCAAAGGAAGAGCATTCGAGGGTGCCCTGGATACACAAGAACACTCCGAAAATACTGAGAAACATGAGGGCACCCTCTCCGAAACGACCTCGTTCTCACACCTCGGTCTAGCTGTAGGACCGTGCGATCCAGGCGTTGCAAGTTTTCAACAACGGGCGCGTTCCCCCCGTTCTGGACTCCAGGGCCTTCACACATCGATCTGGCTCGAAAAATGAATCAAGAAGGTCGGGCCCGGGGCGCTCTGGGCGTGGTTGTGTTGCGGATTCGTACTCTATGTGCAACGTCGGATCTCAGGGGGGGGGTAGGGGAGGAGGAGGGGGGGGGCGCAGAGAAGGGGCCCATTCTACAGGTTTGGTCAGCACATCATTGAGCGGTACTGCAGCCTCTCCAAATCTCAGCCCCCACAAGAGCATCAGCCAGACCCGCCGGATTTGTACCCTCAAGCTTTGCTGGACTCTGGGCGCGTTGCTTCGGCACCCTGACCTCGGAGCAGGATGAGGAGGAAGTGGGCGCCAAGAGAAGTGGCACGAAATGGGTCCCATCGCGATGCGATATCAAAACAAAAGAAACGCAAAGCCAGACTGAGCGAATGTCCCTCGGTTAGTTGGCAAGTCCTTGGGCCATTTTCCATCCTTGAGTCACTGTATGTGCCGACTCCGCATGGGTTTGCATGGGGCCTTACAAGCCCAGCAAGGCGAGCCCTCAATCAGGACGGGGAAGATGCGAAAATAATCAACATCGAGTCGGGAAATCGGATCGGATCAAAACGTGTATCGAATCGGGCCGCATCGGCAAGGAGTCCGAGTCGAGTCAGATCGGCGGCGCCAGAATCAAGGGCGCCATGCAATACCTTCGGGCCACACCCAATGGCCCGAACATCAAAATTGAATCGAATCAGGCCGGCTGGGGCTGATATCGAATCGGGTCGATTTGATCGAAATGGACCCTGGGAGAGAGGCGGCAGGAGGAGATAAGGCCTGGTTAGCCTTGGTAGACCTTGCTAGGCCCAAGCCCTGGCAAACCCCCACTGAGCCTTGCTAAGCACCGTCAAGCCTTGGCCATCTCTGCTCAGTTTTGCTAAGTCCTGATGCGCCCTGGTGAGCACTTGTAGGCTCTGGTAAGCGTTGGTATGCCCTGGTGGGCTCATGTAAGCCCTGCTAATCTTGGGAAGCAATGCTAGTCTGAGCTAGGCTTGGTACCTTGCTGGACCCTGTTAAGCCTTGCTGAGCCCTGGTACAGATTGCCAAGCCGAGCTAGGCCCTGTTAGACCCTGCTAAGCCATGCGAAGCTCTGCTGGGCATTGCGACTCCCTGTCAAACTCTGCTAATCATTGCTACACTTTGCTGAGCCTGGCTTAGCCCAGCTCAAACTAGGCAAACTTTACAAAGCCTTGGTAATCCTTGAGAAACCTTGGTGAGCTTCGCTAAGCCCTGCTAGTCCTTGCCGAACCTTGGTAAACTCTGCAACATAACGGTGAACCCTTGGTAAGAAACTTAAGACATAATTTAGGGCGAAAAATCCGTGATACGGAATCCTCATCAACAAATCCATACTCCGGGGTCTGTCTTCGGGAGTCCTTATGCAGGAACCCCTCGTAGGGAATCCGTCCGATGGGGCTCCCACCCAAGGAATGAATCGTAATCATTGTTTCGGGAAGACTCATCCATCAGGAGGTATCCTGACAATGGAGTCCGAAGTAAGGTTTCTTTAATACTGACTCCTTACTGATCGTTCACCAGGAGTTCGTAATGTCTTACACCTGTTAAAACACGATGACCCCCCTCCCACTGGATCCAAACGTCCATTACTTCGCAATCAAAAAGCTATGTTTAAAATTGCCCCCCCCTGGAACATATTCCACAGGACTGAGCGATGCGATTGAAAAATGCACACAATTGTGTTTGTATATCTATGTGTGTAAACATGTGTAAATTTGCACCGGGAAACAATCGTACGTTTGGGGTTCTGGGGGCCAACATAAGGCAACCCGTCGTTTTTCGTGCGGCTGAACGGCTTCATACTCGCTCCCATAATCCCAAATTGACAATTGGGTTCAGGTGGTTTTTCTCTCACGATTTCAGGGGTGAGACTTGTCGCCTGTTGATGCTTTTGAATATGAATGGCCTTATCTCCCAGAATCCTAAAATTCAATGTGCAATGTGGTTTTCTCTGATGGCTTCGGGGGAGTCACGTACCACCCGTTGTTGGTTATGTGCAGCTGAATGGCCTTATGCTGGCTCCCAGAATCCCAAATTTACAGGGTCGCAGAGCAAGGCTGGCGCGGCGTTTTCTCAGCACCAGTGAGGGAGGGTGTGCATGGAGTGGTCTCTGAGCGCGGTCTCGATCCACTCCAGGTCGCAGGGCGTGTTAGGTGTAGCACGTTCGCGACCCACAGAGGGTGCGCAGGGGGTGGTCCCTGAGCGCAGTCTCTATCCATGCCAAGTTCGCAGGGCGTGGCAGGCGTGGCCTGACGCCCAGAGGGGGTGCGCAGGATTCCGCCCCTGCGTGCGGAGCGCCAAAGCGGTCGCTGGGGGACGTCCCCGGCGGTCCAATTTGATTTGCCTTCCTCTTGTTTTCTATATACTCAGTACAGCGCCGGGGAACACTAGTTGTTTCAGTGCACCCACCCTAGATTGATTGCTTCGAAACCGCCTGTAGACATGAATAGGGAATCCTGCGTAAAGGATAACGAACCCTTTGGAAGGAATCCTGAAGAACGAATTTGTGATAAAGAATCCTGAATCGAAAATCCGCGCAAGGAAGCCCCAGTAAAATGAAAAAGGTTCTCAACGAGGAGTCCTACATAAGAGTCCTTAGCTAAAAGCCCTTGGTAAGGAATCCGTGCTTAGTATTACTTGTTCGAACAGTCTTAATGTGGAGTCCATATTTGGAAGTCCTAGGTAGGGAACCCTTCCTGGGGAATCCTTGCTAAGGAAACCTTGGCCAGGGATCCTTCGTCTGAAGACCTCATCAAGGAACCCTTATGCAGGATTCCCTCGTAGGGAACCCTTTGTATGGATTCCTAACTGAGTAAGGACTCTTTCGAAGGCATCCCTGATGAGGGGCCTGAACCATGGAATCTGATACCAGGAGCCCTCAGGAAGGAATCCTCTAAACAGGGATCGTTCGTAAGGAATCCTTTGAAGGATATCGTTGTCGTCGTCGTCGTCGCCGTCCCCTCTTGAAGGGGCCCGAGAACACACCAATCAATACACACAAACAAAATGATTCCCCATGTGTTCCTATATTCTCTGGGTTTCTGTCTTCCCCCCACTTCCCATATTTTCCATATTTTCTGGGGAATCGACGGTTAACTGTGTCTATGTGTTTTTCCCCTCCTGACCTCTGGCCACTTCAGCACGCTCCTGGGCCACGCCCCGAGACCAGCGCCCGTGCCAGTCGACCGGCTGCCCGGGAGAGGGGGGGGGCAGCAGACGTCAACAGGGCAGTTTTTAAGATCTAGTTTTTGTTCTTTAACGTGGGATGTTTAGTACATGACTGATGTATGCATGAGTGTGTGCATGAGCTCATCGTTGTTTTCAGTACTGAATCCCTGCATGCTGAATACATGATCCGCACGCGGAGCACGTATTAAAAACGGCACTGTAACAGGATGAGCCACGTTTTGTTTTTGTTTGTTTTTTGTTTTTGTTTTTGTTTTTGTTTTTTGTTTTGTTTTTGTTTTGTTTTTGTTTTTTTGGCCACGTTTTTCTTCCTGCCCCCCCACAGCACCACCAGTGGGCTGGAACGTCTGGCCCCTCGCAGACGTCGGAGAGGCCTCGGGCGCCCAGGTCCCGAGCCCCCAAGCTGCGAGGGAGAGGGTGCGAGGCAGAGAGAAAGCGAGGAGAGGGAGAGGGAGAGAGGAAGCGGTCGGAAAGGGAGCGGCGTGCGAAGCCGGCAGATGGGGCAGCAGAACGAAAGAGGATGCGTCCCGCAGGGGGGGGGGGCTCGACCATGGGAAACTGGCGCAACATGGTGCTGGGACTGGCGCGCGTTTTCTCCCCAGCGCACGATCCCCAACGCACGGGAATCGGAGGCGACGATACTCGCCATCGCTCGGACGTCCATTTCCTGTGTTTGTTTTCGGTTTCGTGCGTGGTTTTTTTCGCGAAGTGAACAAGGATGCTCCTCGATGGTCCTCGCCGAAGGAAAAATGCACACGTCCGAGCGATGCCAAGGATAAGAGGCGAATAGCCCAGGGGCGAGCATTACAGCATCGTCGCCTCCGAAGACAGGGGCTCGCGCGCGGCCCCGCCTGACTACCTGCCAGACCACCCCAACCCAACCCGAAGACCCGAATTTGACCCGAATTTCGGGTTGGGGGGGGGACACGGATTCCATGTGTTTCTTCAGTGTTCCCCTGCCCCCCCCGCCCCCGCTGGAAATCGAGGATACATTTGGGCCTTCGGGTTGGGTTGGGGTGGTCTGGTGGGTGGTGACCGCCTCCGCCGCCCCGGCGCAGCTCTCCGACGCTTTTTGTTGCTCCAGCCAAGGGCTCCTTGCCTCGGTCCTGGGCTCCTGGCGTCCCGACGAGCGGGCCCCGGGGGCCACCCTGCGTGGCCCCGGGTGCGAGCGGCTCTCCTTCGGGACGGGGTTAGGCCCTCGGCCGCTCCTCCCCCCCCCCTTATCTGAAGGGGCCCAAGGACACACAAACAAATACACACAAATAAAATGGTTCCCTATAACTTCCTATATTGTATGGTATGTTTGTCTTCCCGCCCAATTCCCATATTTTCCCATATGTTCTGGGGGATCGTCGATTTATTGTGCCTGTGTTTTTTTCTCTCCTGATTATCTGGAATCTGGAACTATACTTAGTCGGGGATGGACAGACCTCCCTTTAGCAAAACGTGGGTTAGTGAGAACGACCTGAGGCCCAAGCCTGGCGGACGCAAGCCTGGGAAATCACGGCCGCGGCGCCCTCTCGAGAACCGA